GTCTCAGAGCGGGCAAAGACAAAAACTCTCCGAGCTCACCACTATTTATTGGATTCATAGGGAGTATGAGATGTCTCAGGCAGTGGCGGTGATCCCATGACGATGAGGATCTTATGCTGATAAGCATCTTAGATGATGAGGAGTTTGTGTTGATGAGGATGGTGAGATGAGGAAAGGTTCTCACAACAGTAGGTGGGGTGAGTTAAGCCGACAAGGAATTTGCCCCTTCCCTTGAGTGTCAAAGCATCATGGGACTATTGAGGCCTCATCCAGCCCTAATAATTTAACTGTGAGGGCCGGGGATTTAGCTCAGTGGTTCCGCTGCCTGCCTTGCAAGAGCAAGGACCCAAGTTCAATCCCTGGTACCAAAAAAAAAATATATAATTGTGAAATGACTTTTTTCCCAAAATTATGTTAGAATGACTCCTGACACCAGGGTTTTCGTCAGTGGCCTGGAAGGGCCTAGAGGTGACCAATGTGATCTTGCATGTCACTGCGTTGGGGCATCGAGCTTTGAGTCACTTGCAGAAGCCCAGATGAACCTGGGCACATCTCTGCCATCTCTGCGTCATAGGTCAACCTGGGAGCTGAGTGACATCTCTGAGCCTAACACCACTTTTGGGTCCCCAGGGCTAGCAGACAGCTTGTTACCATCTGGAATGCGATCTATGCACACACCCATAGGTGCTCCACAAACATGTGTCACAGCCCACAGCCGGCCTGACTCTGCCCCAGAGCGATATTAGCGGGAGGGAGCCAGGCAGACAGCGCAGGACACGGGACCCTGAGGAGCCCCAGGCGGACCTTTGCCCTGGAGGATCAAAGGGACGGCCAGAGGCTGTGAGCAGCTTCAGACAACAGAGGGAGCCCCAGCACCATGGCCAGCGGCTTCCAGGCCCCGGGAGGCCACCTCCACAGGGCTGTCACCTCCTTGGTCACTTGAGGGCCAAACACAGGGGGCACCAACCAGGGAGGGGGAAAGGGGGACATTCTGGGACCACAGCACACTCCTAGAGACACATCAGGAAAGGAGACCCCAAGTGGGCTCACCCGAGGGCTCCTAGGACCTCGAGGATGTGACAGTGCAGTTTTAACAGGACACCTTCGAAGGTCTTGACTTGAAGGAGAAAGGGGCCAAGAGCCAGAGCAGTGGGTCCTGAATTGGCCCTAAGCTCTAGAGAAGCATGGAACAAAGTTCTCTGAAGCCGGGAAAGTAACACTGTGGCCCAATCCACCAGGCAGGTATAGTCAGGAGAGATTTAAATAGATATGGCAAGCAAAGTAAGTGCAAATAAATACCCAGGAGGTACTTGGGTCTAGTGGTAACTATTGTTTTGTTGGCTATTTTTAGACAGAGTTCAGCCTGGCCTTCAACTCCCTATGTACCCCCAGGCTGGCCTGGAACTTGCCATCCTCCTGCCTCAGCCTCCCAAGGGCTGGGAAAACAGATGTGTCACCATGCCCAGCTTCAGGGAGTTTCTGCTCTGTCCCCATTTGCCTTTTCCTGCCTCTCCCTCCGTGCCCTTCCCTGTGACGTGAACTGGTTTCTGGGAAGCTCACTGCTGGTTCCAGGACTGAGGACCAGCTGAGAAGCCTGGATCTGAGAGACCGTTTGGCCAGAGGACAAGCTGTGGAGTCAGTCGCCTTGGGGTGGGAGTCTTCTCTTTTGCCCACCTTCTAAGCCACTGTGTGGCTGTTCCAGGAAGCCAAGCCCAGAAGCGCAGTCCCAGGCGGCCCAGAGGCAGGTTCTGGGCTCTCGGAGAAGGCAGGTGGAATTACAAGGAGAGAGGGAAATGGAGGCATCTGGACGGCCAAACCTTCCCCTCCTGGTGACTTCCTACAGCAACAGCTCCTTCGCCCAGAGCCCGGGAGCCCAGGCTGTGCACGGGGACAGAACCTCACCTTGTTCTCTGCCGAAGGCCCTGGGTGTGCAGGGGCTGGGACCAAGGATGCAGAAAAAGCAGGTGCAGCCCGGGCCTTCCCTGAGGCTGCACGGAACCTGAGCTTCCGGTCCCTGAGCCTTCGGCTCTTAAGCGACTTAGAGGACCAGTGACAGGGCTGCTTGAGGAGATAGCCTGTGGATTTAGCTCTTTCCTTCTCTCATCGGATCCCTAATTTCAAATTATTGAAAACCACAAACCCGTGACTCACTTGGATTGACAAAGGCCTCCAATCCGGGCAGCACTGCGCATGTGCAGCTGCACACACTCGGGAGGCAGGCAGCTCACACAAGGCAGCTGTCTGCTCTCTCCCTCCAGGTTCAGTTTTTCTCCTTGTCTCCTCATGGTCACAGCCTGTTGGGATTTTTCGGGGGGGAGGCTGGAGATCGAATTCGGGACCTTACACTTGCAGCCTGTTGGTTTTTATACTTTTTATTTTCTGTGCTGGGGATTGAACCCAGGTCCTCTTACATGCTAGACACGTGCTCTCCCACTGTGCTATACCCCAGTCTTTTTACTTTACTATCAGACCTCAATTCTCACCTACTTTGAAAGCTAATTTGGTATAAGAAACATTCTGACATGAAAACACTGTCCTGGTCCACGAAAGCTAGAACTTGCAGTGTCTGTGGCCTGACTCACTTCTCTTTCCAGCCAAAACAGTTTGTTTGGTACTTGTCATATCTCTCAGAAGCAATTAATGACAAGTACCGTGGTACCACACTATATGTTGGATCTAAGTTCCCCAGGCTGGCCTCAAACTTGCAACCCTCCTGCCTCAGCCTCCCAAACAGCTGCCAAGATGACAGATTATACCCGGCAATGTAGCCTATTTCTTTCTTTCTTTCTTTTTTGGTACCGGAGATCGAACTCGGGACCTTGTGCTTGCAAGGCAGGTGGCGGAACCACTGAGCTAAATCCCTGGCCCTGTAGCCTATTTCTTAACCAAGTTACTAAAGACATTTGCTGGCTCCTTACTCCTGCCCATCCTAGGATTCTGTCCCAATGGGATCTCCCAGGAGGTGAGGGAGCCCCAGACTTTGGGGGTTCAGAGTGACAGAGAATCATTCACTCCATAAGGAAGCAACTTGGGAACTGAGCCTTTGCTTTCTGTTATGGCTTGTGTCTAGATGTCCTCCTAAAGCCTGTGAATGACGTGGGGCTATTTTGGAGGCAGCTGAATATAGTGTGTGATTGATTCATGGTGGGGCTAGGCCCATGGGCGCTAGGATTAAGGGTGAGAGTGCTACCCGAAGTCTGAATGGGATAAAAGCAGGAGAAAGACACTGTTAAGGTCCCTTGTTGCTTTTGCTCCTTCTGCTGCCATGAACTGTTGCCCCTCTGCCCCCTGCCTTGGGGCCAGTCAATTATAGACGGAAACCTCTACAAACTCTAAGCCAAACAAACCCCTTCACCTCTAACTTTGGGTGTCAGGCATTTTGTCTCAGCAACTTTCTGTGGGGCCTATCTGACCCCAGCTTTGATTGCTGCAGGAAATGGACAGAAAGGACCTTCTGGCTTATCTCCTGGGGCTCTTTGGAAACTCTTAAATCTAATCTATCCATGAATGGTTTACACCATTACTATTACTACAGCAGAACCCAGAGATCCCGAGTGGTCTGACAAAGAGGCTGCAGTAAGATCTGTGGCAAAGTTCCTGGGAGCTTAATAAGCTAAGTTTCCTGGGCCCTGCTGTCTCTCCTCTGCTCTCTTCTAGGTAGAAGGTGGGATTAAAACCTTTCAATGACCACTGGTCCACTGAAGAAACAGCCAAGCAGGGCATCAGCTGGAATCAACTCTATCTCCTCATAAAGATGAGGGAAATAGGCCTGGGGATTTAGCTCACTGGTTCTGCTGCCTGCCTCGAAAGCACAAGGTCCCAAGTTCGATTCCCATGAACCTTAAAAAACAAAACAAAACAAGGGAAAGACAAAGAAGTGTAAGATAATCATGGAAAACTCAGTGAGAGCCAGCCATGGTGGCACACAGTGCATCCTAGCACTCTGGGAGGCTGAGGCAGGAGGATTGCAAGTTGGGAATCAGCCTGGGAAACTTAGTAACTTATTGTGACCTGTGTCAAAATAATTAATTTTTAAAAGGGGCCGGGGATGTAGCTCAGCGTGAAGGCCCTATGTTCATTCCCCAGTACCAAGAAAGACAAAACTCAAACTCAGTGAGCACCTGCATTAAGCACTATCTCGTGCTATCATTAACCCTCATCATAACCTTGTGAGGAGGCAGTCACAGAAAAATACACTCACCTGCAGAGGGAAATGGTAGCTTCCATGGAATGCGACAGCCATTCCTTATCCATGCCTCTTCCTACTAAACAGTGTTGCAAAGACATGGAGGTGAACATGCAGATACACCCAGGTTTGCACACCCGAGGGCTGCACGGGTCTTGTTGGCCCAGCAACGCTGACTCCTGGGTGAAAGGCTGACTCCAGCAACCTGACTCCAGGTGCCACACCAGGCTGCGCTAAGGCTGTGTGGTCACTGAGGTCTTTGTCCCCTGATCAGGCACAGGACCTGTACCCCAACGAAAGCCCAGGTCATTTTTAGGCCGCCAAGAAACCGGAAGCAGAAAGCAGAGCATGGCTCCTCGGGGAGGGGCGCCAGTGGCAGACCTGAGCTTCCGCCCTGGCTTCTGGAACCGCACTTGCTGTCCCCAAAGAGTTGGGCTTAAAAGTGGCCTGGGGACCAGGAGACGTGAGTGCAGCACATGACAGACAGGAGAAGAGTGCCTGTCCTTCTGACGTTAAAGCAGTCACCGTCCACTCTGCATCAAAGTCCTCATTGGTATAGCAGGGCAGGGGAAGGGACTTCATGCTGTCCCTGTTGACATTGTGATTCTAGCTTTCAACATCACGTGAAGGGTGGGGGGCCCCTCCTTGACCCCTCAGAACCCAAAAAGTGAGGGTCAGTGGGCTTGGGTCAGCATTGGCCAGAGGGTGTGGTCGGGCTGGGTGACATCAGGACTCCTTTCTGCTTAGCCCTGTGATCAATCGATCGATCAGCAGCATCAGAGCAGTGATCTGCCTGCTTCTCTCCCCTCACCAGGGTGGGCTCGGTGCTCCTGCAGCCTCGGCCCTTCCTCAGGTGACCTGCCGAAGGGGTCCCCAGGAAGGCTACCCTGGAAGGGGCATCTGTGTCCTGCTCCTGGCGGCTCTGCAGGACTCTGCAAGACAGGAGTCGTGGTCCCTCCAGATCTCCAGGTCCTGAGCCTCAGAGCTCATCCTGACCCGTTCCTAGGGATGCACCCTATCCCCACCTGAGACCCGGGAACCTGCTGGCCTGTCACAGCCTCGAGGTAACAGTCACATTCCTGAAAATCGCTGCCCAGGCAGCAGCACCCCAGAAAGGCACTGTTGGGGCAAGGGGCACCACCACCATGGCAGGGAAGATAGGGCACCAGGCAGCAAGTTCATGGTGCCTCTGGGCCTCTGGCACAGCCTGTGTCGGTGTGTGTGAGCATGCGTGTGACAGTGTGTGTGTGTGTGGCGGGGACACAGACTCATCTGCAGATGGCCTCTTCTGCCTCAGAACTTTCAGTGCTCCTGGGAGGGGACCCTGACCCAAAGAACCCTGGTGGCCCCCAGTGCTCAAGGTCCCTGCCATCAGGGATCAGGGTGACAGCCCTCCGGAAGGAGTGCTTCCTGGAGACAGCAGGTGACAGGAGCCAAGAAGCCCTCCCACTGTGGGAAGCTGGTCAGGTTCAGCCCCGTCCTGGCCATGCTGGACCTTCCTGCAGGGCCCAGCCTCCTTCCTCCCTCTCCTTCCCTCATCCATCTGTTCGGGACGCATGATGCGGGCATCAGAGATTCCCAGGCGCCCAGGCCTTTGAATTATGGAGCAGCTTTCCTGCCCCTCTCAGAAAGGCCCTGACTGACTACTTCACTGCCCTGGGAAGCCCCAGTGGTTTCCTCCTGGCAGAAGTAGGTCAGGCATGGATGGCCGTGGGGGTCAGCAGGCAGGAGGCCCGGCTGGCTTGGCCAGTGCCCTGCTGGACCAGATAGCACAGCAAGGCGAGGGTGCAGGGGAGGGAGGGTGTCATCCCTCCTCCTGGAGGCCCCCACCTAGCACCCAGGCTTCTCCTCCTTTCCTTCCCCTCCTCACCGTCAACCTGGGCCAGCAGCCGCCAACAGTCGCCAGCGGCGAGCAGCGTAGGCCTGAGCCACCAGGGTGCTAGTGGACCAGTGACGGGGGCCAGACGCAGCCTCCCCAGCCTGTCTCAGGAGCCCAGCAAGGGGCAGGCTCTGTCCCAGGCACAAGCCAGGTGCAGGTGGCTCCCCGGGTAGATGCAGAAGGAAAAAGCAAATGGTGAAACCATCAGGTCAGTGTTACGGCCCCGCTCCGGTGAGGAAACCCAGACTGCAGATCACACAAAGGGCATCCTGACCTCTGCCTGGGCAGCCTGGGTCTCAGCACCGCCCAGCTCTGGGGACCTGCACACCCTGGGAGGGGTCCCTGGTGGGCCTTGGGTGCAACCCATGGTCACAGGGTGGAAAAAGGACCACTTCTTCGCCAGCTCAGCCCCAGCGCTCAGGGCCCAGAGAGACCACAGGCTGCAAACAGAAGCTCAGGTCCCTCCGGTCGTCCTGTGGGAGTCCAGGTCTGACCTTCACAACTGCAGCATGAGGGGATCAGACCCGAATGGGCCTTACCAAGCCACTTCCTCCAGGACAGGGCGCGAGCCCTGCAGACAGGAGGGGCCCCTGAGCCCAAGGTCCTCCCCACCCCATTCCCTCCCCTCCATGCAGCCTGTACCCCTGCATCCCAAGGGAGGTGTAAGCAGAGGTCGCAGAGCAGTCGCTTTCGAGTTTTTTATTTCATATATTATCCAGTTTCACATTCTCACAGGATCAGCAAGTACAACAGCCACCTTGTCCCCCACGTCTGAAATGGCAAGACAGTCGCGGCCACAACTAAAGGTAAAGCACGGTACGCTCACAACACAAAATGAAATTGCACGACTTTTCCTTCACTTCATTTTCCTTAAACCACGCCTGACACAGGGCAACCTGCTGAAGAACGGAAACCGCCTCTTCTTCATGCCTCCAACTAAACATTAAACTTATCTGACAGGGCGAACAAGGTCTCTTTAATAATTAATGGTACACACATGAAAAATCCTTTATGATGCATAAATATTTTGTTACACAGGCTACAAAAATACTTTCCATGTTTTGGCTGGTTTTGAGGTCTGGAAAGAGTGAGGAGCGGTGGGGTAGGGCGCACTGTGGGGAGGTGACCGGAGTGGGCAGAGGGGGCCGCTGGGCCTCAGTCAGAAGTGAAAGGCGGCGCTGGCCAGCTGTGGGGGGTGGGGGCAGGGTGTGGCAGGAGGGACCAGGCACCTGGAGGACCAAGAGGCCAGGACCTATTGCTACGGCGACGGCGTGAACTGTACACTCACATATACAAAGGCTGAAGTGTCTTCATTTGTGCCACAAAACATGCAAAATTAAACACCTTGCTTCCCTGTAGGGCAGCTACAGAAGCAAATTAGGGTGAGAGGTCAGGCCTTGCCGGGCCCCAAATCTTCCCAGGAGGCCCTGGGTGAGGGTTTGGAGTGGCACAGGGCTGGGGAAGAGGAGGGAAGGGACACAGGACACCGTCCACTGGGCCACAGCCATTAAGATTCAGTCTCTGGAGGGAGCAAGAGCTCTGCACAGACTGTGGGGGTGGCAAAAACTTGGGGCCCTGTGCTGGCCCCACCACATGGTCCAGCATCAGCTCCCCGGTGACCAGACCTGGAGGGGGCAGAGAGGTGGCCATGAGCAGAGCCAGGGACAAGAGCCCCCCAGGCCATCCTTCCTTTGTGGGGAGACTGCAGGGAGCTGGCATCGTCTCACGGGTGAAGAGAAGGGACAGTCACACCAGGTGGCCCTTGGGCCCAGCAGAGGAAGGCCTATGGGCCTGCAGGAAGCCAGCATCTGGAACACCTGCAGTCCTGGCCCTGGGGCCAGCACTTACTGCAGCGCTAGCAGAACTGGCGGTATTTCCATCCCTGCTGGGAGGCTTCAGAGGATGGGAACCAGCGCATCTGCAAGAGAAGCCAGTGTCAGGAGCCAGGTGACTGGGCTGGCACAGCTGGGCCCTCACTCGCCTTGCGGACCAGTTTCACCATCCCGAAAACAGGAAGGTTCACCTGCCCCAGCGCCTCCAGACAAGAGGCTGCCCAGATGCTTCAGAGTGCATGAGGCCCAAGGCACCAGCTAGGGGGACTCAGCAGCCAGACGCACTGGGGCCAACAATCTGCCCTTCCCGCTTTGCTCAGAGAGCGACAAAGGAGAACGAACTTAATAAAACCGTGTTCTTCTTCTTGGGTCTCAGTGTCCTCAGCCAGCTACAGAAAGAGCCAGTATAATTCTTTAGAAGCTGGGCAGGAGACCCAGCCGATGCTTCCCGTTTCCTCCTTTCCCTCTCACCCACCACAGCCACCAGCGTGCCCTCAGATGGGCATGGCAGCCCGGTCCTTAGCAGTGCCCGGCAGTACTTGCCAGAGAAGAATCAAGGAAATGATGCATTCTTCCATTCCTGTGGGCCATCAGGCCAAGGGTACAGGCCCCCTCAAACTGCAGTGGGGACTTAGGAAGGCAGGGATGGCGCACTGCACAGAGGGCAACTGGGCCACCAGACACTCCCCAGTCACCTGCTTGGCTGCCTGTGACCCCACCTCTCAGGGAAGCATTACCAGGCCTCTGGGGCGACGGGAGCTTCCCAAGAGCTCCTGCAGCACAGCATTGGGCCAGCACACGCCCCCAGGAGTGTGGCAGGAAGGCAGAGGCCCCTGCTCCACAGCTGGACAGGCCGGGGCCACCTAACCCATGCCAGGACCTCCCTGGGGCTCTGAGTACGGGGCACTGCTGTCACCAGAATACAGCTGACCCAAGGCTACCGGGACCACCTTTGCTGAGCCCCACACCACACAGGAGCCTCTCGCCCTGGGAACATCTCGGGGGACAACTGTGCAGGGGAAACTTCTCTTGGCTCTAAAACTTCTCTCGGCTCTAACTTTCTCGGCCAGTTACCTGGTGGGACACTAGAACCCACCCCAAATGAAGGGGACACATGAGGAGCCAGTAGCACTTCCACTGACAAGCCTGCGGCTCGGTCTGCCTCAGGGAGTCCTTGGCGAGCCCTGCACCCAGCAGAAGCAGTGCCGCAAGGGTGCCAACCCTGCAGGGAGACTTGTGGGGGACAGGGCTATGCAGAGACAGGAGAGGGTCAGGCAGCTCCCCCAGAGCAGCAATGTGCCCGAAGCCTGGAGTGAAGAAGGTGACCACTGGGGGAAAAACGGACAGGTCCCATTTACAGGTTGGGCACAGCAGTACCACTCACAGGAGGGGATGTACTCAGAGGCAGCCAGGGCCAAAGGCCTTGGGAAGCAGCCTGGTCCCTTCCCAGATCTCTTCCGGTCTCAGCAGATCCGGAGACCCAGCCCAGGAGTGGGACCTGCATGTTAGGGAGCCTGCAGCTGGGGTCCTCCCACAGGCTGCTTCAGAACGAGAGAGGATGCGGCCTCAGGCTCCTCTCAGATCTCAGGACTGTCCAAGAAGACACCAACAAGTGTGCAAAGGAAGGAATCTACACAAGAAATCCTAGGAGCCATTCAACACCAGGGCCTCACTTGTCAGTAAGTCAGAAATAATGCTTAACAGAGGCTGGCAAGCCTGCACCTGGACCTTGTCCTGGGAATGATCAGAAGGACCCAGACGGGTGTGGGGAAAGTGTTGCTTTGCGTTACTGACTGTCCTGAGATGGAGTTCAAAAAAAAGATTAACTATACATAGGTTTTTTGTGGTTTTTTTGCAGTCCTGGGGACTGAACCCAGGCCTGGGGCCTGAACCCAGGCCTGGGGCATGCTCAGCAAGCTCTCTACCACTGAGCTACCCCTTGCTCAGTAATTGTAATGAAATTGTACAGAAACTGTAATGAAAGACCTGCATCTAAGGACTGAAAGTAGTGGAAAGGCACAGGGTAGGCCAAGGTGACAGGGGCTGCCTGCCTAAATGCAGACCTGTAAGAACTTCACTGAACCCTTACAAACCCCTGTGCGCTTGATGCCAGTGCCAACCCATCTCACAGAGACAAGGGAGATTATGGAACCTCAGGCCCTTGGTAAGCTGTGGAATCTATGACAGGGGAGAGCCACGGTGACCGACCCCCACTTTCTCAGACAGAAATGAAAAAACCAAATCCCACCTGCAAGAAGGAGGCGAAGAGTCCCTTTCCAGGCCACCAGCTTTGCCCATCCTTGGCACCCACACCTCCCATGTGCCTCACCGCGTGAAGGGGTGGCTTCTCGTACGAGGGCTGGAGGTGAGCCAGCTGACCAAGGCCGAGCAGGGGAACCAGCTCCAGGACCACTGCAGGTCCCGGCTCTGCACCCCCAGGGCTAGGGAGGGCCTGCTCAGGGTGGGCTGTGGCCGGGGTGGATGAGGGGTGTGGGTTCCTATCCCGCCTGCCTCTCAGAGAGCAGCTCCTCCCCTCAGAGCCCCCTCCTTGCCCTCAGTTTTTCTACTGGCCCTGTGGGTTTGGGACCATCTGCTTAGATCAACAGCTGAGATGGCTCAGCCTCCATCTCCGGGCAGCACTGCCGAGGGCTGGGGGTACTCAGAGTAAGGAAAATGCTACCACTTGGAAAATGCTTTCTGACATTAGCCTCACAGCCAATTTTACTATTGTGGAAATGGTGTCCAACCAGTTTAAAGAGCAACGACAGAACTAATGACAACCTGGTCATTAGTCTGCCGCCCAAAAAATGCCACTGTCCTTTGGGGTGGCCTCCACTTCTCTCCCAGAGGCCAGGGGACAGAAATCCTGGCACCACAAGGCCTGCAGTCCCAGAGAGACAATAACGACATTAAGCATCACAGCAGAAGCAGCTCCCCAGCGCCTCCTCTGTGGTCACAATCACCCCAACCGTCCCATTCCCATCACTTAACGAGGACATGAGCAGAGGCTAAACAACCCACCTAAGGGCGAGAGAAGGGCCAGGAGCTCAAGGCCGAGAGCATGGGAGGAAACAGGGCAGGGACAACAGGAGGGCACACAGCCCTGTGGCATGGAGCCCAGGGAGGACAGCGGTGTGCTACTCCCAGCCAGACCTGACAAACCCACTGTCCCTGGCTCACGCCTCCTCCACAGGCCAGTATCTCAGGGAACAGGGCACAACCCCCCCAGCCTGCCCAACACTCATTTCAGTCGTGGATGGGGGCCCAGGGTGACCACCCCGCAGCTCACTGGTGCAGAGGTGCCCCACACAGCCCCGTGGACCTGTCCAGCTCAGACCTGCGGCACTGGCTTCTCTGCTCCCCATGCAGTGCCACTGGAACTGATGTGTGCAAGAGGCCAAAAGCTCCCCTCCAGGGGACATCTCTGCCCGCTTCCCACCGTCAGATGGATCCCCAGCTGTCTGCAGGGTGCAGCTGGGAGCAGCACCAAGGTCAGCATCAGAGGTGCTGTAGTGGGAGGATCCCTGTAGACTGAGACTTCACACCCTGCAGCTGCTTCCGAAGTCACGGAAGCCCCTCCCAGGGCCCAACCCGCACTGTGCTCCTCCTTCATGCAGCCTGCCTTGCTGGGCCAGCTCAGCTCAGGACAGTCACTTGGCCACCCTCAACCCTCCTCCTGTGTGGCCTGGTGGCCTCGTCACTGCCACTGTGAAGGGCCAGCACTTGTGGCAGAATCACAGGGTCTCGCACAGCATGCGGCACAGAGCCCTCCACCCCAAGCTGCCCGAGTGGCGGCCACCTCCTTCCTCCTATGACCGTGGACTTCGTCTAGGCTTCTCAGGAACAGGGGTGAACATCTGGGAAGTTCTTAGGACCCCGAGGGTCCCCAATGCTAACACACAACTCTCCCAACACCTGAGGGAGGGGCCAGATGAGCAAAACTCGATGCACAGACATCGTAAAAGTTTGCAAAGTTCACAAAGAAAGGAAGAGGCAAGGGCTGGGGATTTAGCTCCGAGGTTCCGCCACCTGCCCTGCAAGCGCAAGGTCCCAAGTTCAATCCCCAGTACCAAAAATAAATAAATAAATAAAATAAAAGGAAGGAAGAGGCAGTCAGGTGTCTGGCCCCAGAGACAGGCCTGGCTAGGGGTAGTCCTGGTCCTCTCCCCACAGGCAGACAAGGGGGTCCAGGCCTGTGGGAGCTGGAGGCAGAAAAGAAAATCGGGCCTCTCAGCGCCCACAGCGCTCTGCCGGCATCCTCCATGTGAGCTCTCTGCTCACCTTCCATCAGATCCCCAGACCCGAGAGCAGGAATGCACAGCTCCCCAGGGTCCAGCAGCCACTTGGGGCTTACCTGAGCATGCAGGGTGGCAGCCGCGGTGGCAGCTGGGTAGGTGAACGCAGCATGAGAGATGGCTGGGGTCAGCTCTGTGCTGTACAGAGGGTAAGGGGTCCAGGTCTCCGGGGACGCAGGGATCAGAGCAGCCCCCATCAGGTCATCTGTCATGGGACACAGCAGTCTCTGTCGTCAGCACACTGGCCCCCCACCAGCCCCTTCCAAACAGAGAAGAGGACCCAGCACCGCAGCCCAATCAGACTCCACTCCCCACCCTGTGGAGGACCCCAGACCAGGGAAGGAAGCCATGTGGATGCGGCTGGTGCACTGAGCACCCTGTCTCAGCCTCTCTTAAGTAAGAGAAATCAGAGCAGGCGGTGAGGAAGCTAGGCAGCCGTGCAGTACAGGAAGGAAGCCGAGGTCCTGGAGATGGTCGGCTACGGGTACAAGGAGCTCCTGAAAGGGGACCCAGAGGACCAAGCCTCCCAACAAGGATCGGGAGGCCTGCTCTGCACTCAACCGCGTGGGTGTCCGAGGCTCGGAGCACTACTCACAGGGGTCCCGCGTGATGAAATGCGCTCCCAGGGCCGGGTGAATGCTGCTAGGATTTGGGGTCGCCATCAGCTTGCTCTTGGCCATCTTGGTGTTGGCTTTAGCGAATTCCAGCCTCAGGGTCTGCGGATTCTCAGGATCAAAGCGAATACCCTATGAAAGCCCCACAGCACCTGTCAACTGTGGCAGACAGGCCCCGGAAACCAGCTCGCCGCAGACCTGAGCACACCACGGAGAGTGTCAGCGGGGACCCTGCTCAAACAGACACGGTGACATGGGTCACCACTGGGCCAGCCAAGGACTCTGCCCTGCGATGGCTGGGAATTAAAGCCCATCCGTGGCCCCTTTTCTTGGGCGTGGAGTGGGAGAGGGAGAAGAGGCCACAGAGGACAGTTGGGGACGCTCATTGTTGAGAGGCCTGTTCTCCACCTACTCACGTTCAGTGCGTTCTTGGCCGCTTCTGCGCCTGCCCGGCTGTCAAAGATCACAAAACCAACAGGCTAGTAGGAGAAAGAGAGAACACCCTGGCATCTCTGCCAGCATCTGTCCCCCTCAAACAAAAAAGACCAAGGCCAAGGCTGTAGCTTGGGGCAGAGCGCTTGTCTCGTATGCATGGAGCCTTGGGTTCCTTCCTCAGGACCGCAAAGAAAAAAAAAAAAGGCTGTCACCTAACTGGCAACAGTATCTGTCCCACTGATGAGAAGGGTACACATACAGGGTACACACCTGCCACGGCCCAACCTCTGTCCTAGGTTAGCAGACTCTGGGGAACAATGCCAACAGAGCTGTTTCACACTCTTAAATGCTGTGCTTTCACAGCATTTGATTTTTTATTTTTTGGTTTTTTGAGACAGTCTTTCACTACATTTCTAGACAGGTCTTGAGCTCACTAATGTAGCCTAGGCTGGCCTCAAACTCACTCACAGTGATGCTCCTACCTCACCTCCCGAGTGCTGGGATCACAGACATGTGCCACCACGCCCAGCTTGAGAAGCACTTTAAAACGTGTGCAGAAAACTTTTCCAACTTCATTTGGCCAATGATCAGTGCAGGCCCTGGCTGACCTTGGAAGGCTCAGGACCCAGCCTCCTACATCAGGGGCCAGGGAGTGGTTCCCCAGGTCCCCAGAGCCAGACTGAGGACCTGGATGGAGCTGGCTGGGCCAGCTGGCTGGTGAAGAGGCAGGGCACATGGAGGGTGCCCTTTGGTCATCCCAGGACAACAGAGACAGCAGACTGGGACCCCACTGCCACAGGCCTCAGTCCAAGCTCAGCAGTTGGTCTGGGCAGGGAGGGAGACAAACCCCAGGGAGCAGTTACCTGTCTCGAGGTGAGCTTGATGAGGGACCCTTCGTATCCCTGTGGAGAGAGGTGGCTGGTCACAGGGGACAGTCAGGAGCCCTCCTCAGTGCTGCTCACACCCATCTCCCCCCAAGGTGACCCATGCTGACCTCCACTGTGCGTGTCCTGAGTCACACGGTCCAGCACACGGTGGCGGTCACCGCTTCATGCATAAACTTGAGTGAGCTCCACTAACCTGTACCCCAGGAGCACAGACCCTATCTCCTATGTTTTTTCGTCTGCAAGTGGAAAAGGCTACACTGACCCTCGAGGGTTCCTTATTTACAGATGAGGAAACGGCTCCAAAGAGCTAAGTGAATACTTCACAGGCAGACCCACACTGGGCCAGCCTGGGACCCCAGCTTCCTGTCTCCTTCACACCTGCTGCCTCTCCCCTGCCCAGCTCTGCCTTCGAACTCACCTTGAAAGGCCGGAAGAGCAGGTAGAGCTCTCTGGGCTTGATGTCCACTGGGAGGCCACTGACAAACAGCGTCCGCACCTGAGGACAGAGACAGCAGTGGTTAGGCCAAGGCGGACAGCTAGGGTGGGGATGGCAGCTCTTCCTTCAGGAGGGAAGCTACTCTTTCTAAAGACTGCTGGTCAACAGAGGCAAAGAGAAAGAGCCCTGCTAGGGCTGGGGATTTAGCTCAGTGGTTCCAGCACCTGCCTTGAAAGCACAAGGTCCTGAGTTCGATCCCCGGTACCAATAAAAAACAAACAAAACGAAAGAGCCCTGCTCGTCACCCCTCCAAAAAAGCACACAAAAATGTCATGTTTTTCCAGAAGATGCCCTCTAGGTGAGAGGTTTGGCCTGGGAAGAGGCAAAGATGTACTTAGGTACAAGCAACCTAAGTCCCAAGCCACCTGAACAACAAATGAGGCCCCAGCACTTCCGTCTTTCTCTTACTGTTCCCTGTGACTTAGGCTCCTAATTGCTGGGAAACGTGTCAGAATCTTGCCTCTATGCCCAGCTCTTGGCAGTGCTGAAACTGTAAAGTTTACTAAGTATGAGAATGGATAAGGTGTCAGAAATGGAACAATTACGGTGGGTTCTGAAGGATGAGTAAGATCCTGCCACCTCAAAAGAGGCATATAATGCTGCCTAAGCCTTACCCTCCCCCTGAAGTTATAAGTCGGTGGCAAAGCCAGGTCTAAAGACGAGGGATCCAGCAAAACCTGACCTCCTGAGTGGCAGGTAGGTCCCTGAGTGGGTTGGTAGAACTACTTAACTTCCCACTGTTATTTAAATGTGGCTGGCACCTGGTACTAAACTAGCAAGCCCAGATCATCCTGCCACAGTGACTCGGTGACCAGGGAGGGTGCTTCCAGTCAGTTTAGATCTGGTAAAAACACATCTCAAACCTGGCTTCCTGAATAACGAAGTCGGAATGACAAGCAGGCCTCCTCTACACGCTTGACCTGTTTCGAGCTACACCTCACAGTGCTAAAATAAGCGCAGGTCTTCTCAACACCCCACTGTTGATTTAGAAAAAGCTCAGGCGGTCACCCTACCCACCTCAGGGCCTTCCTGGAAAGCACTCAGCTGCGCTGCCGTGGACCCATTCCCTTTTTCCCAGGGACCAAAGCTCTTGCCCTGAGTTCCAGGGATGGCCCCACACAGCAGAGTGACTCCCTGCCAGGCGAAAACAAACGTCTTGCCTCACGTGGGTTTTTGGCAAACACAGTTGGCAAGGTCACCAGCCACTTAGGACGCATCCCCCTCCCGTCTGGCTAGGCCCTTTCCCTGCCAGCTGTGCCATTTACCAGCCCCCACTCCCAGGGAGGGCTCCCGGCGCCTGGAGCTCCATGCTGGTTTCTGACTCCAGAACGCACCCAACCTCCACCCCCAGCCCCTCCTGGCCCCTCAGCCCTCCGATGTCAGGGCTGGAAAGTGACCGGCCAAGGTCACTTGTTCCCTACAGGCAGATGACGCCCGCCTCTGAGTACCAGGAAGGGACGGGGTTCGGGGGACCCTGAGCGCCCTGCACCGTGAGTGCACGGCACCTGCTGGGTGGATGTGACCAGTGGTCGCTGTCCTCCTCCCCGGGATGGCGGGATGCTATGGGCGGGGACTCAGAGCACCTCCTCTCTGCCTCAGTTCCCTCAGGGGCCACCCAGCTCACCCAGGCTAATTTTAAACCCTCCCTCCATGGCTCCTCCCTGGCCAGACCTCCCCAGAGGCCCCTTAAATAGCAAGTTCTCAGCACAGAGCTTCCCAAGCTCTGATCCGTCCTCATCTCCAGCTGAGATGCCTGTTCCCAACCCTCTCTCTGGGCCATGTGGTCCTGCTCCTGTGGTTTCCATCTTTCAGGTTCTAACACCGTGCCCCCCCTCACACACACAAAAGCCACCTTATAGCACCTGTCCTGTCTCTGGCTCCTCTGGGGAAACAAGGAGCCAAGCCTTGGGGAGGCTGAGTCATGCCAGTCTGGCCTGAATGCTCTCCTTGATTCTTTTTTTTTGTACTGGCATTCGAACTCAGGACTTTGCACTTGCCAGGCAGACATGGTACTACTGCGCTAAATCCCTGGCCCCTGTCCTTGGTTCTTACTTGATTCTGGCCACCCCAGCCCATGACACATAACCCATCCCCTTCTAGACAGGGAAAATGAGACCCAGAAAAGCTTGGTAAGTTGTTAGGGACACACGGCTTAGTTCACCAAGGAGTGGATCTGAGTGGACTCTGCTGTCGGGTCACCAGCAATCCGCCGAGCAGCCTCACTGGCCCCGAGGCTGGGTGAAAGACAGTCCCACAGATTCAGTAGCCAGTCCCCTCCCGCAGCACTTGTTTCAGATGACAGCAAAGCTGGACAGAAGGAGAAATTGCAAACCAGTTGAGGTAACCTCGAGCTCACAGCTGGTCAGCACCAGGCCAGCAGGATGAGGTGCCAAAGCCCTCTCTCCTACGCCAGCTCCACCAGGCCCCAGCAGGGACCATGCTGCTGCTGGCCCCACCCGCCCTTCCTCCCTCCATGGGGAAGGGCACCCCCAGTCCCTCTACCTCCTGACTCCCCTTTTCTGCCCCTGAAGCGGGCCCTGAGTGCCGTCTATGTGGGTCCCCCAGTCTGCGCTCACCCCCACCCTGGCCACACAAACACAAAGCCCAGGGCAGGAGCCAGGCCCCAAGGCTTCCCATCTTCCTGCATGCCATAAACACCTTGAGCGTGGCCTCGCTCTTCACCTGCAAATCCACACACCTGGGCCACATTTCACTCCGCACAGGGGTTCTGAGGGTCACAGGACCCCTGCTCCCTGTAGGGCTCCCAAGACCATAGACCTTCAAGGCCTTCACTTTATGAGGCTGTCAGAGCAGCTGCATGGCGTCCAGCACTGTCTGCAGCGGGGACAGTGGGTGAGACAGCCTTAGCTGGCCACTGGATCCTTCGGTTTCCTTCTTCCCAACGGAGGGAGCTCCAGCTTAAAGGCACCTTGGAGATCACCTAGTTCAACACCCTCCTTCCACAGATGAGGGGAAACTGAGGGTCAGAACAAGGTGACAACACGACCAACGGCAGTTAAGACCCTTCTGGACACTCAGTTGCTTCTCCAAGGCCCGAACAACTATTGTTATGCCTCAGGCCAGCACAGGGCTCCAGGGTACTTCCCCATGCTAGGCTCAGGGTGACCTGGCCTGCCACTCAGAGGGAGGCTGGATGCCAAACTAGGCGACTCAGGTGCCAATAGCTGGTGAAAGCCACCATGGGAAACTGATCAAAGAACTTGTGTCCTATCTATTCCACAAGCTTATTCAGAGAAATCAACACCAAAAACTGTTCTACAACCACACCTGTAATCCCAGCACTCTGGGAGGCTGAGGAAAGAGGATTGCAAATTCAAACCCAGCCAGCCCGGACAACTACTGACTTAATTAACGAGATCCTGTTTCAACCTAAAAACTTTAAAAAGGGGGCCAGGGATTTAGCTCAGTAGTGCTGCACCTGCCTCCCAAATGCAAGGTCCTGAGTTTGACCCCCCAGTACCAAAAAATAAACAAATAAAAATAATAAAAGAGCTGGGGATGTAGCTCAGCGTGAAGGCCCTGGGTTTAATCCCCAGTGCTGCCAAAAGAAGAGAAAGTTTCAAGTGTTTGAGCAAAGTACAAGTGGCGGTCAGCAGCCCCTGGAAGCCACAGAGCTCCATACACACCCCCTTCTGCAGAAACATCCATACCCCAAGGGACTGTGTCTCCCTGCTCCCCTCAAAGTGAGGCCCCTTTTGGAGGGTCACCATTAGGCCAGGCAGGAACCGGCAGCCATGGAGGGAGACAGAACTCTCTGACACGCACCCCGAGGTGAGGGCTCTGGCTGGGATGCGTCCCCCCCCACAAAGGACATCAAAGAGGTGGCTGCGCAGCCCCCGCCACCTGGCTCTGCCCTCGGGCTCTGTCCGCCGGAGGCCCTGGGAGCAAGCAGTGGACAGGTCCACACCACAGGCTGCTACTTGCTGGGCCCCTGCCTGGGGTGGTCCCCAGTCTGACTCCCAGGGCAAGGGTGTAGGGGAGGACAGCCTCTGAGTGCCACAGGAAGGAGCAGCCCCTACCCCAGCCATTCTCAAAAGCCTGGGGTAGGAAATTGTCCCTCCTGGTAAGAATGAGTTTGGTTTTTGTTGGTGCTGGAATCCATCTCAAGACCTCATGCACACATGCAGTCTACTGCTAAGCTACTCCAGCCCCAAGCACAGTTTTAAAAGGAGCTTCTCCCTCTGGGAGGCTGCGGCAGGAGAATCTCAACTTTGAGTCCAGCCTGGGCAACTTAGTCCAGCCTGGGCAACTCAAAATAATACTAAAATGGGCTGAGAATATAGCTCAGTGCAAAGGCCCTGAGTTCAATTCTCAGTATAGCAATTAGTTAATTAAAAGGAGACAAGGAACTTGGGTTTCCCCTGGCCACCCATCCCTTCTCTTTATTAAGGGCTCTGCTCGAAGAATGAGGGGGCCACATCCAGGTTCTCTTGTTCCACTGAAGTCTATGGAGGCCAGAGTGTTGGAAGAGGACCTCTGAAAGCCTGCCCACACCTGTGCTGAAGTTCTTCCTTTGGTCCAATTTCAATCTTAGAGGGTTAGAAAAGATCAAGCACACTTTCAGGAGCAAAGTGTGTTTTAGTTACTTTTCCTGTTGCTGAGACAAAATACCTGACACCCAAAGTTCGAGGAAGAAAGGTTTATTTGGCTCACAGTTTGTAGAGGTTTCAGTCCAGAGTCAGTTGGCTCTAAGGCTGGGTGGCATGGCAGGGGGGCATCGCAGAGAAACAGTTCATGGCGGGCAGAAGACAACAAAAGCAATCGACAAGTGAGCAACACCTTCCTTCTGTCCCTTCTATCTTGTCCAGGCCACCCACACTTAGGGCCGGTAGCAATCACACCCCTTGTGGGGCAGCCCAAATCCTAGCAGAATTATGCCAAACCAATCAGCGGACTGAAAATCACACACCCCTGATCGCAGCATCACCCACTCCAGATCCAGCCACCTCCAAAAGGGCCCCCCGTATGAGCAAGCGCAT